AGTTTTTTTTTTTTTTTTTTGAGATGGAGTTTCGCTCTTGTTACCCAGGCTGGAGTGCAATGGCGCGATCTCGGCTCACCGCAACCTCCGCCTCCTGGGTTCAGGCAATTCTCCTGCCTCAGCCTCCTGAGTAGCTGGGATTACAGGCATGCGCCACCATGCCCAGCTAATTTTTTGTAGTTTTTTTAGTAGAGACGGGGTTTCACCATGTTGACCAGGATGGTCTCGATCTGTTGACCTCATGATCCACCCGCCTCAGCCTCCCAAAGTGAGGTTTAGCTTTTTGAAAAATCCATTGGGTTCTATGGGAATTAGGAATGTCCCTGAATAATCAGTAATTTAATCCAAACAAGATACTGCTCTTCCAACTTCCATCAACTGGTGTATCAAGAGAACACCAAACTATCAAATAGTACATTGCTAGGCTACGCGCAAATAAATATACAAACTAAAAAGCCACTGAAAAGATTAGAAAGTAAGACACTAGCAGTCGTTTAGTCACACAGAAAATACTAATATATTTAGACTTCAAATAGAGAGAAGAGGAGAGTATGTTCATAAAATTTTATTTTAGTTTCTTTTTTCCTTCCCACAGCCCTCACAAATACTCCTGGAAGTACACTGCAGGAGAGGTTGTAGAAAGCCACTATCCTTTAGGCTAAATATATTTTCCATACAAAATAGGTCTATACCTACATATAAAATGCACTGTCTTTTAGAGTCTTTAATTCTGTAACATTATTGCCCCCACAGGTCCAAAAGAAATGACTTCATGCCCTTCAAAAAACTAAGAAGAGGGTGGGAAGAGGAGATGTGTTGACAGAGATTTGAGTCGAAGTTCCACAGATGTAATATGAAGAGACTTTGGCCCTAGACTGTCACTAATTCTCCATGGAGATTCTACAGCCAAAACCACTTAACTCTAAGCTTTTACAGAAAACATAGTATCTTAAGCACTCTCAAGGAGGAGTTTCCATTAGTGTTATTTTCAAACACACAGCTTTTTTCACTCCATTTTAAAAAGTTTGTCATTTGTGGTTTGGCCCATCGGCAGTGATGACTGACCCTGAAAGACATCAAGAAGTCAAGTCTGGTTTCAATAACCCTGAAGATATTGGATGCATTTGAAGGGGATTCTTTTTTTCTTTCCAAAACATTTTCTCTGTTCCATTTTTCTTCTGTGCCACATCTCATACAAAAAAATTCTTCAGATTTCCCTAACTCCATGAACTTGACCTCCTGTATCGTGTTTCTTGAGGTCATCACCATATCTCTAAAAGATGAGTTCTTTGGTAGTCTAAGACCATCCAAAGAGGGACAAGCCTGGTTCTAATCAAATAGTTGACCTTCCTACTACTGAAAAGTTTAGACACTCTTTAATGCATTTTTGTCTTTGTGTCGATGTCCACACAATAACAAACAAGTATTCTGAGGCATTGTTCCGCCGCCATATATAAGCATGGTAGTCCCTTCTCAGACAAAATCACACCTGTTCAATAAAACAACTTAACAAAAAAAAAAGAACCCTCCAGAACGGCAGAAGAAAACAAGTCTAAATATAGCCACATGATTGTCTTAACTATTTTTAGCAATTTTAAACATGATGTAAAAAATATATAATAGATGATTTCCTGGGAAAAGTTTTCTGTGTTCTAATCAGTAGTCAGGAGACTGCATGTACACTTGTGTTGGTTCACATAAATGGTAAATATATTCATATTTTTTCTAATAATAACATTAATATTAACTTAGGACTCACTGTGGAACAATGCTTTTCTACTTTATGAAATATATTAATTTTTATGAATTTCTTCAGAATGTTTTTGACACTTTCTTCAAGAAAGTGGTATAATCCAGTCATTGATTTAATATTATCTAATGGCTAATGACTCTTAAATTTATATCTACAATGTTTATGTCTCTTCTTGGATTAAGAAGTATCTCAAAATTTGCATGTGCAAAATGTACCTCTTGATTACACCTCAATGTCAATCTCCTCATTTCCCAGCCTCCCTATTTCAGTTAATGGCTAGATCATCTACCCAGAAGTCACACCAATAATGTAGGATTCCTCCTTGAGTCCTCTTTCTCCTTCACCTCCTCCATCCAATCTATCAGCAAGTCTTTATTAGCTCAACCTCTAAAGTGTATACTGAATTTGATCTTTTTTTTTCACAATGTCCACTGCAACTGGACCAAAAACTCTAATTCTAACCATCGTCCTGTCATGCCTATGTTATTATAATGATCTCTTTACTGATCTACATGTTTCACTCTCTGTCCTCCAGTGACTTCTTTCTACACAGAAAACAACAACATAATCTTTTAAAAATATAAGCAAAATTATATTACTTGCTACTTTGAAACCTTCCAATAATTTCCTATTGTATATCAATAAAATCCAAACTCTTTCCATGGTTTATAAGGCCCTCAATCATTGTTCTTACATCATCTCATCTTTCTCTTCACCAGGCTCCAACCACAGTGCCCCTCTGTTCCTTGAATACACCAAATGAATTCCTACTTCAAGATCTTTGCAATTACTAGTTCTCCTGCTTGGAATGCTCTTTCCCCATAACCTTTCAGGAAAGGTACCTATTTTTTATTCAGGTCTTAGCTCAAATGCTGGTTCTTCAGAAGGGACTTCTTGGAAATGACTACCCTGCTTCTAGTACCCAATTCACTCTCTGATATCCTCTTTTATTTTCTTCACACAGTGAAACTATGTTATTATTTTAATTTGCTCATCAACTCCTGCCTCAAAAAAGCAAATTCTGTGACAGGAAGGATCTCACATCTCGTTCATTGCTACATCCCTAGGTCTTAGCACAAAGCACAAGGTAGCCAAAAAATCTAAAAACACAGTCATATATTTAAAAAATAACTTATTCATATTACATGTAATGCATGACAAAATAACATTGACTATGTTTCCAGATTTTATGTAGATACTAAGTAAATATTAGTATCATGGATAATAAACTGGTCTACAACTTACAAGACTCAGGTTTTAATTCTAGCTCTACCACTTACTAATCTTATGATTTTATTTAAGCCTCGTGACATGCAAAATAAAAAGAGCTGGATAATTGGAAAGTAAGAAAAAGACAATGCAATGTAATTCAGCTGGAAAATAAAAAGAGACAATGTAATATTTTAAGTGGATCAAAAGATAATATACATCAGAAAATATGTTTTAAACTAAAAAGTATAATATAGTTAAAAGGTATTATAAGAAAATGGTGCATGAATAGTAAGCTTATTTTGTGTTATTTTTATATAAATTTGGAGTAACCAAACTCTCAATTTCCTTTTGAATTGAACATGTATTATCTCTTCAGACAATTCTTTCTGGATTTATAAAGATAAGCTGTATACATTTGTTTATTGACTTTAGACTTGTGAGGTTGTATAGAAGCAAGTGGCAATTTTTCTTCAGATGGGTTAAAAAATAAAGCTTATAATCACTTCAAATATCACTCATATTCTGCTGAGACTGTCCTCTATTCACAACTTCCATAAGAAAAGCAAAGCACTTACAACTCCAGTGTGTTTCTTACAGGACTCAAAAGGAAGCGAACTTTCACCAGTTCGCCAACTGTCATCACCAATTTCATCACTCAAGAGAAACTCATTCAGCTTTTGAACACTGCAAAAAGCAACAAACACAAAATAAGAGTTAACAATAAAACCACCACCAACCAAGTACTACTTGAATAACCCGCTAACACAAATTATTATGGTGAGTAGGATGCCTGTGAGAGTCATTTTTCAAGACCAACTGGGAATTCAGCTAGATCAACCGTTTTGACAATCCTAAATTGCCAGGGACAGAGGGATTTCCAGAGCATGGACCTCTCAGTGCTAAAACCAGAAAAATCTCAGAAAAATCAGGACCACTTGTCACCCTAAATTCAACAGTACATTCTTTGCCTTTTTTTTTTTTTTTCAATTATATTCCTTGTCAAAAACAATGAAGTTGTTTAGGAACTTGGAACACAGTGATTAACAACAATAAGGAAATTCCTCTTAGTATTCTAATTTTATAAATGAGGGGGAAGTGAGGTACAGAGAAACTAAATAACCTACCTAAAACCATTTAGCATGTAACCACTACAGCTCTGGAGTCCCTGGCCACTGTATATCTTGCTTAAGCACTATGTATTACGCACATTTTCTGAATCTGGCAAGGAGAGGGGCCTCTAGAGTCTTGCTGCTCAAAAGTTTCAGCCAAGGACCAGCAGCATCAACATCAACTGGGAGCTTATTAGAAACAGAAAATCTAAGCTCTGCCTCCAAATATGAATCACAATATGCATTTGAACAATACCCAGAGGTACTTCATAAGCACATTACCATTTGAGAGGCCCTGCTCTAGAAGACTGGTTTGCAAACATTCTTTACTGTGACGGCCTCAGTACAAGCCTGGGCACAAGACTACTTGGCTCATGTACTCTACCCATTCTAATTTTCTCAAACCAGTATCATAGGATCAGAAGCAAAAATAAATAAGTAAAACAAAGAAAACAATAATAAAATGTGTAGACATTATCCTATAAATAATACACAAAAGAAAACTCAGTGAAGTTGCAAAGAAACACAAGTGCTCCTTTTGGCAAGCTAGGATGCAGAAAGTGGAAAAACTTGCTTAGTATATGCAGCAGCAACTATGGGGGAGGTATTGCCTTTTTATAGGAAACTAGAAAATGTATGTATAAAATAAATGTTTTTTTTTTTTTAATTTATTTGAACTTATCATCAAGTTCCTCAAGCCAGGCCTGCAGGGCTTGTTTTTTTGTGACATAATAACGAAATGAGAAAAAAGTAAATTTAATTCAGTCTGTTGCCCATGATATTTAAGCATTTTGGCTTTGTCTGCCACGGAAACACGAAGGAAGATGAAAATCCATTGAGGCAATCTACTAGCTGTCAAATTGTTGTTGCAGGGAACTAAAAGAGGTAATTGTTTAGGAAGAGCTTCAGTTTGCACACTTTCTTTGAGTCTTTGACAGCAAAGTCTGACCACATAGACTTGAAAAACAGTGTTATAAATGCCTTATGAAACATTATCTCATTCCTCTTAAATAGCAGTTATTTCTTCTTCACTTTTGTAGATTGTAATTGCCATTCTGTTCTTATATTTTGAAAAGATTTGATTTTAAGAAGTGCAGCTCTGTCAGTCAAAGAAATACCTTTTTAATAATCTCACACTATGTCTCTGCACAAAAAAGAAAGTGGAGAAGCCAGGCTCATTTGTCTTTATAACTCCAAATCTAGCAATGCCTGCAACATGCTGTTCAAGGAATGTTTGTTGAATAAATCAAAGAAGTAATAACCAATGATTCAGACATTAAGTAAAGTTGGTTGGTTCAATTTTCCATTCCCATTTCTAGTACAGATACAAATCACTAATCTTTCCAGTACAGACACAAAGCTTTTATGGAATAAATGAGCCCACTCTTCTTGAGCATTGGAAGCAATGACCCCTGACCTTGATTGGGAATGGGGATGAACATTCTCTCTTCATAATAACCCACTTTGAAACATCAGTGACAAGGACCATCAATGGATGCCAATACTAACCTGTCTCTGAACCTCTTACTTCCCTTTCCTCCCAAGTCCCCAGGCTCTCTGCGTGAGGATCTCCAGCAATGCTGTTTTGTCATTGTTGGTGTTTGTTTCATGTCTATCTCTGCTACTAGACTGTGAGCTCTTTAAAAGCAGATTTTCAACTATAGAATCTATCCCAATGCCTACAATATAGCATGGTCATTCCTCAAGAAATGTCTGATGAAATAATAAATGAGTAATACAAAAAGCATTTTCTATTCATGTGAGGTCCTTTCAGAAATCACAGAGGTAAAATGACTATTGAAAATGCACAAATCCTGACTGAGGGTGAAGTAATTTCCACCACGCTTCCAGGTTTATATTTTTAAAATACAAATCTATGCATGTAACGACTCGCTTCTTAAAGTGACAAATGGCGTCCGGTTGCCTTTACGCATCTTTAGCATCATCTAAAAGCTGCTCAGGAGTTTACTCTCCAGCTTCATGCCCTGATATTTCCCACATCAGAACCGTTCCTCCAATGACACTGAATTACTTTTAGTCTCCTGAAGATACCAAGATTTCTCACCTACTTACCCGCCTCTTCCCCTTGAAACTTCTGCTCCCTCTGCTAAAACACGTTTATTTTTTTCTCCAACTTGCCAAGTCTTACCTACTTTTAAAGATTCTATGAAAGAGTGCCACTTCCTTTAAATCTTTATTCATCAGATAGTTTCCCTTCTCTCTCAAAGAGCTTCAAGAATGTCCATTATGAGCCATAGCTTTCTGTGTATAGCTTTATAATGCCATAGCCCATTATATACCAATTTGTTTCCCTTCCTGGTCTCTCTCTCCAGGAGTCCCTCCCTGGACTCCCTGTAGATGTAAGGCTATCTTTTATCTTTGCAATTCTTAATGCCTAGCAATGTACCTGTATCAATAAATGAATGCACCTCCACAGAAGATGCTCTGAGGCATGGGGTAGAGATGAGTGAAATGATGATAAGATGGTAAAATGGAGATTTGTAACATACCTAAAATATTTAGGCAACATGGTGGGCACTTTTTGTGTATTATCTCATTAAATTTTCTCAACCACCATAAGCAGGTAATATTATTGTGCTCATTTAACAACAATGAGGTCGAACAATGCGTATTTCCTGGTAGGGCCGGAATTCGAAAGTAGGTATATTTTTTACCAATCAATCTGCTATCCTGCCACTACCACCTTTCTAAATCAGTATTTTACTATTTTCTCATTTGTTTAGATTATTCACAAAAAGATTTTAGGTCTTTGTAGTATGTTATTTTTTCACTTCCCCAGTTACGCTTTGGGTGAGTAGACAACAGCTTAAGTACCCTAGACAGGAGCTATATTAATTGGGAAAACTAAGTTTGTTCCCAGCAGTCACATGTTTTTTTTTTTTTTTTTTTTTTTTTTTTTTGTAGGAATTATAAAATTTTGTAAACTGAAATACAGAGATCAGGTCAAAGTATAAGTATGCTATACAGTAAATATGAATAACCATTTATTTGACTTAAGGTAATGCAGTGAACTAGCCATACATACATTCTTTTGGGAGGTACATGAGAGCAAGAACACGAAGTTACTTCCCAAGAAAGTGAAGGATTTGTGTTACACATTTGTTTTTCTCTTAGCCAAAAGCCTTTTTGGACACAGATATTGAATTGTACATCAAACAGAATGTACAGATACCTAAACTCAAATTATTTATAAAGGACACAAGCTATTACTTTTAAAAGAGCAAAACACATATATTATTTTCTTACAACTAAAGCAAAGTACAAAAGTGAGAGGCAAGCATCCTAAAAAAAACATCACTCTTCTTAGAGCATTTTGTTACTTTAGATAATAGTTACTTTTCATTACTGGGTTTTGGGAAAGTAGGCAAGAACACTTCGTCATAAAATGTCCAGAAAATTCAAATGGTATGGAGCGCTGGGGTGTGTGAGGAGACAATCTAAATCACACCTGCCTCGTTCTTCCATTTTACGAGGTATATACAGGTCTCAGCCATTGAATGCCATGAAGACAACTTCGGCTAATGAGCCAAACTTTTTAAAAGAAAGCATAAAATTATTTTGGAGCAGAGAATTGAACATGGTACGGAATCTTCCTCCAGTAGAGAAGTTTACAAGTCTCTTACATGCATGTATAACACAAGTTTGAGAGTGTGCTTTATCCCATTTTAACCCACCAAGTTTCTAAATGTATTTTAGAGTGCAGTGAGGGACTTAGAATTTCCAAACTTCCTGAAGAGGAGATTTCGAAATCAGCTGACCAAAGTCTCCGATTATAAACAGGCTGCTCAACTCACTGTGGGCCATCTGGCACTAAAGGCTGGTCACGGGTTCCCAGGCACAGAAGAAAATGCTGTAAGTCCAGTCAACACTGGGAGAGCACTTATTTGGGTTCCCAGAACCATCAGACAGTGGTAAAAAGGATTAATGTTCTCTTCTGACCAGCCATCTCTGTAGGACCCGCAATTCAACCACTGAAATTCATTTGAGAGAATCAGGCTTTTATAAGCAGATTCTGTTTGGCCTATGGCTTCGGAAATCTGGAACTGAGCCCTGAAAACGGACTGGTCTTTATCAAACTGGCAAATGTCTTTTCCATGAGATGTGCAGAAGGGAGAGTGCTATGCAGAAATATATGGTGGGCATATTCATCCTCCACTGTACTAGGATTTACTACCACAGAATTGTATACCACGGATTGCGGGGACCACCTCTAGATTGTTTTCAGTCTCTTTTAATCAACTCAAAGTCCTTTCAATGTTTGGTAACCTCCTGATTTCAGAGGCATTATCTATTGTAAGTTATCAACTGCTTTCTATCTCCACTTGTAGTACAAAGTCAAATTCTAAATAAAAGTGCAACCATGAAAGGGACAGTTGTTGAGTGGAGAAAGTGAAAATAAGGACCAAAATAGCAGACTCTGGCCGTTTATCAATTTTATTGTTTGGTAGCTTCCCTTCCAGAGTACTGCCTAATTTGGAAGTGGTGTTATAACAAGTAGTCAGTGATCTGGACAAGTGTTTCAAAGGCAGAACAATAAGAAAATGAGGGCAGATGTGGCCAGAAGGCTTGAGATCTAGACACTAACAGCTCTAGAACTGGTTGTTAATGATATGTCTTAGAGGTTAACATTGAAACTATGTTATGCTATCATATTGTATAGGAATTTGGTTTATAAGATGATTTATATGCATTTTAATGTTATTTGGTAGTAAGCCATTGTTAAACCAATATCAACTACTGGCCTAAAACTGAAGATTCTGCTATTTTGAATATTAAGTTCTAGTTTTCTCGGTAAGATATAGACACAAGCACAATTTTCTCATTTTAAAAGTCTTACAAATGATGTTCTATGTTTCTGTCAATTGCAACATGATACTTCATTTATTTAAAGGTTCAATTTTCCAATTTTTCTTCAATATTGCAACATCTTGGCATTTCTTTCAAAAGCCAGATGTAAATATGATAATGACTATTTACAAAGCATTCTGAGGTTTCATAGCTTTATAAAGAGCATATATCTAAAAAAAAATTATTCTTGGGCCGGGCGCGGTGGCTCACGCCTGTAATCCCAGCACTTTGGGAGGCCGAGGCGGGTGGATCACGAGGTCGAGAGCTCGAGACCATCCTGGTCAACATGGTGAAACCCCGTCTCTACTAAAAATACAAAAATTAGCTGGGCATGGTGACGCGTGCCTGTAATCCCAGCTACTCAGGAGGCTGAGGCAGGAGAATTGCCTGAACCCAGGAGGCGGAGGTTGCGGTGAGCCGAGATCGCGCCATTGCACTCCAGCCTGGGTAACAAGAGCGAAACTCTGTCAAAAATAAAAAATAAAAAAATAAAAAATAAAAAATAAAAATTCTTCTTTAAGACTGCCTAACCTATGGGAGCATACGACATATAGGCTATGGTATAGGCAGCGTATCTTCTGGTTTGGTAACACATCTATATAAGTAAAAATGGTGGCGAAATGGTCTTATCATATCTATTTTTATAGTTGTTCATTATAAACTATAAAGAGACAAAATTTGCACTGGTTGGAAACACTATAGAAGCATATATAAATGAGCAAAACACAAAATGGTTTTACAATTCTTTCCATTTTCAGAGACTTTAAGCCTGGATTTTTTTTCCAGATTAAACTAAAATTAAAATAGTAAATGTGATGATGTGAACATTCTCTGACACTATTGGTGCCAATATAAACTGGCACAGCTTTAGTGGAAATACATTATGACTGTGTTCACTTTTAAAAATCTTAAAAATGTGTGCTGCCTTTGACCTAACACCACTTCAGTGGAAAGCAACATATTCATCAAGGACCTCAAAAGTGTACATACTATTAGAACTAGTATCCCCACTTCTAGAAATCTAATCTAAGAAAATCATCAGAGAAAAGTTTAAGATAAACAGAGATATGTGAACTTCAATGTTATTTATGTTAGGAAGAAAATAGAAACATTCTTAATGTCCAGTAAAAAGATAATTATTTAATAAATTTGAATGCTTCCAACATGGAATGTTACATAGTCAGTATACATCATGTATTATAAAACTTAAATAAGGGGAAAATAATAAAAACAATAAATGTAATCAGGAGACAAACACTAGATACATTTAAAATTTTTGTTTTGAAATAATTATTTTTATATCAAAAAAATAGACTAAAAAGTAGCATACCATAATTTTAACAATGGTTATCTCCTGGCAGTGATTTTAAGGTTCTTTTTTATTTTTTCAAATACTCCCATGAACACACATCATTTCTATTATCAACCAGCAAAAAATATCAGACACTTTAGTGCCTACCTTATGATGGCTTTGACTGCAAATCTGACCACCGTGGAGAGCAGGAACAGTGGTGTCACCAGGATATGGAAGAGAGACAATGAAGCAAAGGCTTCTGCAGGTTTCAGGTTGTTTCCACTGGTATACGCATGGGTCACAAATGTCTGTGCAAAGAAAGGAGTTCTTTAGTGAAAGCTGAAGAACGTTTCACACATGCATACGTTCAGTCTTAGAAACCTAACACATTCTGCTATGGGAATATGTCCATTGCAACTATGCTAACAATGACTTCATGCGAAACTCCCTAATTAAAACAATATTTGCTTTTGGTGAATACCGAAAGGTTTACCTGCAATTATGATGGTAAACTTATGAGAAAGTTAGCAAAAATTCTACTTACAGATGAGGTAATTGACTCTGTCAAGTTACTAAGTGGGGAGAATAGCTGGGTGGAGAATCTAGAGTTTTCAACAGTCAAGCCCTTTCCAAGCAATACTAAATATTCCAGGAGAAAAAATAATGCTTTGTTGTTTTAGGGCCCTCACTGTGGATCTTTACTAAAACTGTCAGCATTGATATCCAAAGAATACTTATTTACATTTTTTTGGAGACAGGGTCTCACTGCATTACCTAGGCTAGAGTGCAGTAGGATGATCATGGCTCACTGCAGCCTTGACCTCGCCAGGCTCAGGCGATCCTCCCACCTCAGCCTCCCAGTTAGCTGGGACTACAGGCATGGGGCACCATGCCCAGCTAATTAAATTTCTACAAAAAATACAAGTTGCCAAGTTTGTCATTTTAGTATGAAATAAATGCAATTATTTAAGATTTTCTGGTTGTTGATCTAGCTCCATCTTGTTATAAGAGTGCCTGGAAACCAGGTCATTGAGATTAGAACAGTTAGTTCCCAACCACTGTTCCTTTCACTCCTAAGCGTACATTTGGTGATGTTTTGATTGTCATAACTGAGGTTCCTACTGGCACCTGGTAGCTAGAAGCCAGGGATGCTGCTAAACATTCTAACACAGAGGGCAGCCCCCTAGAACAAAAATTATCTGGATCAGAATGTCCATAGTGTCTTTATTGAGAAACCCTGGATTAGAACTCTTGCAACCAAGACTGCAATAGAGGCTAAGTCACAGAGATGAAGTAATATATATTACTACCCACACATTCTTGCTCATACATCATATATAATCACTGACTTGGTTTCATTTCTAAAGGCAAGAAAAAGTGTCTTACAGCAAGAACAGCTGCTATGGGAATTGCTGCATTCATGAAGACTGTGGAAAGAAATAATATGCATTAGTTTCACTGAACTGTGCAAACATTTTGAGAAATTTTAATTAATCATCTATTATTACTTAAACTTTCTTTGAAGATAGGAAGGACAAAGTGTATTAAATGTCATTTTGTCTGGAGACCATAAACATTTCCCAGTTAATATATCCTTGTCTGCAGTTTTATGAGCTCCCATATGTTAGTCTTAACCAGTATCTGTTTTTCTTTGTTGAAAATTTTTTCTTATGAAATGTTACAAACAAAAAAATTCATATAAAATCATCCTTCAGTGATACAAATTATTAGAATTTAACAAATATGTATTCTAGAGAGGGGTTACAATCTATCTTTTGTTTAGTCTACTAAACTAATTTAAATATGTGAAAATCAGGTTATTACACAGATTAAAAACAAGAATTTGACATCACTTCAAGTTCTCTTTCCAACTGTGATATTAATATTCATTTATGGCCCTTTCCTTTAATAAAATAACTCCATATCCTGGACTCTCTGCATGGTTAAATATCTCTCCTGGAATATATTTCACTATCATTGGATCAGCATGAGATGCCTAGCTGAAATAAGAAAAACTCACATTTTAGCCTGAAATACTAGTGTTTGGAAATAACAGTAAAAATCAAAAGCCCAGTTGATGATTTATAGTCACACAGTCATAAACTATAGAGTTTTAGGAACCAAGAGACCAAAGAGTAAGTGAGCTGTTGGTAACGGAGCCAGGCAATGACACAGTGAGAAGTTAGAATCTAATTTTCTTGACAGTAGCCAGCTCAGGTCTTAAAAATCATCCGCTCTCAGGAATTATCCTTACCACTGTACATACAACAGAATCAGACTGTGCTTTTGCAAGTCCAGATATGACTTAGTTGTCAAAAATAGACTCTTGTGCAGTACTGCGAAACCAAACACTGATCTGAGTTTCATAATAACACAGGTGAGGGGCCACGTTTCTGCAGCCTTCTTTCTCTGACTATTGTCATCCTATTTCATTTTCAGTTCTGGGATATGTGTGCAGGATGTTCAGGCTTGTTACATAGATAAACATGTGCCATGGTGGTTTGCTACACCTATTAAGCCCAGCATGCATTAGCTACTTTTCCTGAGTTTCTCCCTCCCTGCTGCCCTCCTCATAGGCTCCAATGTGTGTTGTTCCCCTCCCTATGTCCATGTGTTCTCATTATTCAACTTCCACTTATAAGTCAGAAAGTGGTGTTTGGTTTTCTGTTCCTGTGTCAGTTTGCTGAGGATAACGGCTTCCACCTCCATCCATGTCCCTGCAAAGGACATAATCTCATTCCTTTTTATGGCTGCATAGTATTCTGTGGTGTATATGTACCACATTTTCTTTATCCAGTTTATCATTGAGGGACATTTAGGTTGATTCCATGTCTTCGCTATTGTGAATAGTGCTGCAATGAACATACAGATGCATTTATCTTTAAAAGAGAATGATTTCTATTCCTTTAGGTATATGCCCAGTAAAGGGATTGCTGGGTCAAATGGTAACTTTTGTTCTAGGTCTTTAAGAAATCACCACACTGTCTTCCACAATGGTTGAACTAATTTACATTCCCACCAACAGTGTAAAAGCATTTCTATTTCTCCACTTTCTCACCAACACCTGTTATTTCTTGACTTTTTAATAATTACCATTCTGACTAGCATAAGATGATATCTCATTGTGGTTTTGATTTCCATTTCTTTAATGATCAGTAATGTTGAACTTTCTTTCATGTTTGTTAGCTGCATAAATGTCTTCCTTTGAGAAGTGTCTATTCATGTCCTTTGCCCACTTTTTAGGTGTTTTTTTTCCCTCATAAATTTAAGTTCCTTGTAGATTCTGCATATTAGACACTTGTCAGATGGATAGGTTGCAAAAATTTTCTCCCATTGTGTAGTTTGTTCACTCTGATGATAGTTTCTTTTGCTGTATTGTCACCTATTTTCTAAGTGTATTCTTTTAAGCTGCTTTATATCAGATGAGGATGAAGCGCTTGACACAGTGCCTGGGACAAAGTGTGCACTCAATAAACGTTTGTATTATTCATTATCTTCTTTAATCTTTACAGTCCTACATGGTAGGTATTATTACTATCCCCTGTTACAGATGAAGAAACTGAGGCTAGGAGGATATAGGTACTTTTCTCAAGACCACACTACTACAAAGTGTTAGAGCTACCACCACCAAGACTCACCACCACCAAGACTGCAGTGAAGAACATCATAAAACTTGAAGTGGTCAAACTGGAATTTTGCTCCATTGACCCACGAATCCTAGCTCCCTGTCATGAACACAGGATCATGCATTTTCGCCCTCAACTTCTCATTGCTCTCCCCTAGTATGGCCTCCCTCTACCCTCTCTCTTCTTGTATTTGACTCAAATACCAACCCAACTCTCATCTCTACAGACAGACAAGCTGGATGCACATTTCACCTCAGCTGGATGATTTGAAAGAAGTACAAGTTACTTAAATTCTTTATATATCAATCTTTTAGTTTCTAAAGTAGAGTTAATAATACAGTCTAGCCCAGGCATGGTGGCTCAGGCCTATAATCCCAGCACTTTGGGAAGCTGAGGCGCTTCAGCCCAGCCATTGGAGGCTGCAGTAAGCTATGTTCGCATCACTGCACTCTGGCCTGGGTGATAAAGTGAGACCCTGTCTCAAAGAATATATAAAAATAAATAAATAATAGAATCAAAATCAATGGGCTGTTGTAATAATTAAATGAGATAGTATGTGTAACACCACTTATTGCTAAGAGTGGTGGCTCATGCCTGTAATCCCAGCACTTTGGGAGGCTGAGGCAAGCAGGTCATGAGGTCAGGAGTTCGAGACCAGCCTGGCTAATATGGTGAGATCCCGTCTCTACTGAAAAAAAAAAAAAGAAAATTAGCGGGGCATGGTGGCGCATGC